TGATTGAAATTATCAGTTTTTATTCAAGAAGGCAGAATTGTTACATGCTTACCCTCCAAGAATGGCCAAAAACGGCCTTTCTGGCGATTCCAAAGCCTTTGCAAAGTAGTCTAGTTCTTTTTTGAGTAGAAACCCAGCAGCTCTTTTTGAATGATCTACTCCTACCATRGAACTAAAAAAGATTAATACTMATCAATACTGACGATACCATGGGGTTGGACTAAGTGCCTTTTTCAGCTATTAACTCTAAATATTTCAATATGCACRTRACTATAAATGACAAACCTGTGAGCCCTGTGTGCAGTACCAAATGCATCATTCACATAGACATCACCAAGCTTGGAAAGTGAAGCTCGRAATGTTTTCACTGCTTCGTCACTTGCTTTGACCTGAAAATAAATTGTTGGTTTTCCAGTGTGAGAGAATATATATTACAAACCAATTATGCCCAAAAATTCACCCTCCCCTCTCCCCCCTCCTTTACACATACTGATGTAGGTCATGAGTAGGTATTAGCTTCATTGTCTCACTCAATAGTCAAAGAAACTTTAACACTAGCATATACAGTGTTGATAATTTGATGGAAATTTGTGRTGAAAACTACCTTTTTCCCTTCAGCATCAACACCTTTTCCTTCTTCTTCAATGTGGAAACGAAGATTTTCAAGCAATATTACRGAGCCTGGAATTGCAATAAATTCACGCACATCAGCTACATCATACAACATGTATTTCTTGAAACAAGACAAAATAGTAACAACATACACATTGTACCTCTTTTGGGGTTTGCACAAGCACTTTCAATCTCTGGTCCAACACAACTTGGTAGAAACTGTACATCTCTAAAATTGAAATTAATTCATAACTTTCATCTGAACTTGATAAATTCAAGTACTTCATCAAATTCATATCATGATAATTATTACAAAAATACAAGTACRTACCTTCCAAGCAATGTCTTAACTTCATCAACAACAGGTTTCAAGGAATATTTGTCAACAACTTTTCCATCAGGTCGACCCAGATGACTCATCAAAACYACTGATTTKGCACCATTGTCAATGCAGTGTTTGATAGAAGGGATGGCAGCTTTGATTCTAATATCAAGAAAAAAATCTAGCTTCATTTAGGGACAAACCTGTTGTCGCAGATCAACCAAAATTGCATCCATATCATACTCTCTTCTCTGACCTCCCCTCACTCCAACTCAGTGTTGTTTCTTGTTATGTGGATAACTGATATGTTTTACAATGAGGACTACCAACATTATATTGGTCAAATATGGGGAGGGACCCAATGGCTTTTGTAAAAATATCAGTTCCTATAGGAAACACACTCAAACTTCAACAAAGGTGACAACACATCATGTCACTATAGTTTTGGTGAATCAAAATGCAAAGTGAAATAGTGAAAAAAGACAAATAAATTTGACAGGCAAATCATCTTCAAAGAGACAGATGGCAATTGCACAGGGATACCAGTCAGAGAAAGTAAAAAAATCTCATTTATTTATCTGCTCCTTTGAGAATGTAAATGTGCAAATCATCCATGCAGTGCATCACCTACATAATCATATGATAGTATCGAGTACCATATGGTTATCACAAATGCACTGAGCAAACAAACGAGGCAGCTCTGTGCACACCAGCATGTTTAAACATTTTGATGAATACAACAAATAACTAACCTTTGGTTATTCGTAATTTTTCCATCTTTAAGAGGCACATTGAAGTCAACTCTAAAAGCAAACACATTCAAACATCACCTAAAAGCCTTCTGTTATACAAACCTCGCTGCAGATTATGATAGGAGCCGAAAAATATTGTACAAATTTMAAGATTCAATGCCATAAAAAAGCTTAAAATTACTAAARAAATACATTCTCATTTACCTCATGAGTACTCGCTTGTCTTTAACATCCAAAGAGGTAATTCCTAGTTTGTTTAAAGCCATGTTTAAAGGCTGCAAGGAAAAAAAGAACAAATATTCCTAAAAACGTGTAAAAACTCACACTTCAGCTTCCAGAAGCTCAATGATGACATGTCAGACCCACTAGGGAGGGGGCAGGTCCACTTCTTTTTGCAGTTTAGGATTAATATAGGCCCTTTCATACTCCAATCATTTTCAGAGTTTTTGCAACATATTTTTAAGTCAAAATACAAGGCAAAAAAGATTTGTTTTAACTTTTTATAAAAGTTTAAGTATCTTGCCAATATTCCCTTCCCCACCCTGCACCGGCCGAGTTAGACTAGTGTCCAGTTTGTCTCAACTTCACTTTCAAGATGGCGACCTTGAGGCTTCAAAAACTTTTTCGAGCTCGACAGTCATTTTCATTGTATGCAAGACGCGGTTTTAGTCTGCAATGGAAAGGACAGCTGTCAGACACCTTTTCTTCGTCGTCAGCTGTTTTGAGATCCCGTGAGTWAAGGACAAGGTTTAAAATCAGTCATGAAAGTCCGTCGAGGAAATATTGTCACATGCTGCACGTGGGCTGAACATCGTAGTCATGCTACGATTAATTTTTTTGCTCAGACTTACAATAACTAAGATGGCATTTCAAAGTTTTTTTTATATGCAAAGGATTGATCTTGATAATCCATGATGTGAGACAGAACGATTGTTGGAATGATCTTTCAYCACTATGATGAAATATCATTCTTAGATAAGTTATTGTTTGACTGATTGATTAATGGATTGATGACCTGTTATTATTAATGATTAATTGATGATATTTTATTATTTATGATCTGTTATTATTAATGATTGTTTAATTTCAAGAATATTTTGCCTTTTCTGTTTATTTAATCACTGAGTATGTCTAGAGATGTGTTGATAATTAACAACAGTACAAGTATTAAATTAAAAAATGATTGATTGACTGATTGATTGATTGATTGATTCTATTTATCATACAAATCCTTTAGGCTCAGTATCATCTGTAGAAAAGCTAAGGTTTCCAAATAATAAACTGTATCAGACTATATTCGTCAGATCCCTGAGCAATGACATTGATAATGAGGTAAGGGGCTCCATTCCCATTCTATCATCTATGTTATTGAAAGTATAATTGAATTAATGTAGGTATTATTTCTTGAGTCCAAAATGATCATATTTCATTAATGATCAAATGATGGTAGAATAATAATTTATAAATATTCTGAATATACATTATTAGAAGAATATAGAATATATTATTGTTTAGTCAGTTTRTCTGATCCATTGTGTATCTATCTAGTGTACAAGTGTTTCACAAATGTTAATTTTGTTCTTCAGAAGGTAGACAGTGAAAGCTTTGAAGAAGATGCTGCTCACRTCATTACAAATACAGAAAGAGTAACAGGTACAGTCATATTTTGTTGATTTTGTTTGTTGCTCTGAACTCAATCAAAAGGTCCACAAGAAGTCTATGTTTAATGCAAGGATCATTTAGTACTCTATATTTGAAGTTATCCATTGCATAATGCTGCTATTCTGCTAATGTATGCATCACTTTTCAGGAGAATCCCAAAAGCATGAATTCCAAGCAGAAACTAAACAACTCTTAGATATTGTGGCCAAATCGCTTTACTCAGAAAAGGAGGTAAAMATACTAATGTGTCTTTTAAATAATAGTGATTTTCCAAAACTTATTATCAATGCAATTTTTCCTTTTAGGTTTTTATTCGAGAAGTGATTTCCAATTCCTCTGATGCATTAGAAAAACTAAGRCATCATTTCCTAACAGGAAAAGATATCACAGACATTGATGTGAACTTAGAAATTAAAATTGAAACAAATGAAGAAACTGGTACATTCACAATTCATGACAATGGCATTGGTATGACACGGGATGAACTGTTACAAAATTTGGGTGTCATTGCAAAGTCTGGCTCTAAAGCATTTTTRGAGCAGTTGAAGCATCAGCCTGGATCAGCACGGGAGAATATCATTGGTCAGTTTGGTGTGGGGTTTTACTCAACATTTATGGTTGCTGATAAAGTGGATGTATTTACAAAGTCTTATCAACCTGACAGCCAGGGATATTACTGGACATCAGATGGGTATGTGAAAAAACTTAATAGTATCTTATGATGTCAGGGCATCACCATGTGATTCATTTATTCATTTTCATTTACTTTATGTTTTTTTGTGTACTGCTTGTCTTGCTTCCTTGTAATGTGCACACTTCTAAAAGCACAAGGCCTAAAGCACCACTAGTATACTCGGGTATAATGGAGTGGCTCATTTGTATTGATAAAGACACATGCAGGAATGAAATGGCAAAATCACATTCCAGAAACACAGCACATATAATTTATTATAGGTCTGGTATGTATGAGCTGGCTGAAGCTGATGGTGTTGAAAGAGGAACAAAAATCAGTATACATTTAAAAGAGGATTGTAAAAGATTTGCATTAAAAACAGCTGTAGAAGGTAAACAAATAGTCCCAATCATTATCCATTCAAAACATCAAAATTCACTAAAACTGTGAACTTGTCCTTTGTAGAAATTGTTCAGAAATACAGTAATTTTGTTGGTTTTCCTATATTTCTCAATGGTGTATGCATCAACACAATACAGGTATGAATTCTAATGGGGCAAATTTCTCGGAATTTTTTCTTTCCTTTTTCTTGTCTTTCCTTCTATTGACTGTATTCTATATTTTTCAGCCTCTTTGGACACTGGATCCTAAGGAGATCAGTAAAGAGCAACATGAGGTAGTGTAACTTTATCACTAAAAAAACTCTATATCAGAACTGTCAACAGATGTTATACAATGTTCTTGTATTTGTTTTTTTTTTTTCAGGAATTTTTCCAGTTTCTTGGTGGCACATATGATAAGCCAAGATATTATCTCCATTACAAAACAGATGCACCTCTCAATATTCGCAGTATTTTCTACTTTCCTGAGACTTTACCACAAGTGATGTCCATGCAACAAGTTGACTCGGGCATCTCACTCTACAGCAGAAAGGTTTTGATTCAAGCAAAAGCAGAGAAGGTATTCTAAAGCTGTCAAGACTCTTAATCTATTATTTTGCATTATTATCTTAAACCCAACAAATCCAGAATTCTGATTGGCTATTGAATTGTGGTCTATTCATAATAACGATTCATATGAGAATTGCATGAACAGTTTGAAACTTGGGCGAAATGACTTGGGCAAATACAGTCTTGTGCAAAATGACCGAATACCTAATGATTGCACTGGATAATACCCAATAAGGTCAAAAAAGCTTTGAAATAGTACATGTATTTGAAACATCAGCTTGTGGTCCACTTGACTTCATTTTCCTATTGAAGATTTTTGAGTACGATTCATTATTAATATCTTATTGTATCAACAAAATCAGTACATGAATGATAAATGTTTTGTTAATAGGTAATTCCCCGATGGCTGAGGTTTGTCCGTGGGGTTGTTGAYAGYGAAGACATCCCACTTAACTTAAGTCGTGAGCTTTTACAAGACAGTGCACTCATWAGRAAGTTGAGTGAAGTGCTTTCCACAAGAATTGTGAAATTCCTTCAAGAGCAATCTAGAAAAGACAGAGTTAAATATGAAAAGTTCTTCAAAGATTGYTCACTTTACATACGTGAAGGTGTAGTCACAACGGAAAATGAGGATCTTAAGGAGGAGATTTCAAAGCTGCTGTTGTTTGAGTCATCCAATGAAAAACCTGGAACACTCACCAACCTTTCATCRTATACRAAGAGAATGAAACCTACTCAAAGGAAAATATATTATTTATGTGCCCCTAGGTAAGATAAGAGGTGTTTTACGCTATGAAATGTTTTGGCAAGAAAACTGCATCTATCATTCAACAATAGCTATGAAGAACAGGTTGCAGTTCCTTGCTCCATCTTGAAAGGCAATGATATCTTTGCTTTGAATAAAGACAACCAGTGATCTGGTAATAATAATAGATACCACTCAATAATTTTCCAAGGTGTTAAATTAAACAAAGTAACACTTGTAAGTTCTTTTTCTTGCAAAGAAAGAGCTATCTTTAAGATGATGAAAGGAACTGCAATGAAGACTGATCTTTTTTATTTGATTTTTGTTGTCCTGATTGAATGGTTTTAGTATTAACAGTTTAGTCTTAGATTACTGTATTTCTTATTTTATAAATGATCTTTTTTTAGCCGGGAACTTGCAGAGACTTCAGCCTACTACGAGACACTCAAACAAAATGATGTAGAGGTGAGGTTTTATTACACTGAGCAGTGTCTGGGTAATATATCTGATTCAGGAAGAATTGTCATGGTTAACTTTGTAAATGATATAATTATTTGTCATGTTCCCCACAGGTTTTATTCACTTACAATGATCAAGATGACGTTGTGCTGCATTATCTTAAGAAGTTTGAAGGGAAGCCCATCATTTCTGCAGAAAACTACTTGTCAGAAGCTGAAGACATCAAGCCAGAAACTGAACCAGAAGTCAAAGATGTGGACCCCAAAGGTAAATTGTTATATAATTTTCTTGTTGACTTCCAGGATAAAAATGTTTTTATTTTATAAAGTGGCAAAGAATTGTTTAGTCAGATATATGTACATGTATAGCTCATGTCCTTAATTGCAAGGTTTTCTGTCATTTCCAGAGGACCTTTTACCTACAAAAGAAAGTGAACAGCTTGCCCAGTGGATCAATAATGTTCTTGGAAAGAGCAAAGTTGTTGGTGTCAAGGTTTCCAAACGTCTTGTCAACACTAATCATCCAGCAATGATCACTGTACCAGACATGGTTGCTGCCAAACATTGGCTTAAACTTATCAAGAGTGAACAACACAACAAGGACATTGGTGATGCAAAGTTTCAGATCATCCAGCCTACCTTAGAGATAAATCCAAAGTAAGTCAGTTAAAACATTAGTTGTATTATAACTGTGAGTGGTGATAAACGTGATGGTATACTCACTAGACATGTGACCACTTAAATGATTTGATCAGTTTTTAGATTACTTCCACTACTTCAATCTTACTTAAATTTGTGTTSAATTGTTAGATTTCCATGCCTACCTCAGCCAGGACTAGTGTCTCCTAAAGATTAATGTACTCCATAAGAACCTTGATATAAAGGCAGCCGAAGTAGCTTTGCATCAGTTGAAGATTGTTTTTGATTTCAATCAAAGGATGATAATTAGCTTTTTTAAAATGGCATTGAAAACTGTAAAAAAGGAGTAAAATTGATAGTGGATAATGATTGTATGTCAGTAACTGGTCCATTGTGCATCAATTTTTTTTTTTTTTTTTTACAGACATGAATTAATCAAGAAATTAGAAAAAGCCCGAGAAAGTAATAGTCAACTTGCCACACTCATCACTAACCAGGTATGTACTCTCTTTTGTATAGAGAAAGGGGGCATTTTGTGTGTTCATTGTACTGGACTTCATCCTCAGGGACATGGCTTAATTGTAATTTCTCTTCTCCTTTTAGATTTATGACAATGCCCTTATTGCTGCTGGWTTGATAGATGACCCAAGACCAATGGTTGCAAGACTGAATGAATTRCTAAGCAAGGCTCTAGACTCACATTCATAACAATACAGTCAAATCTTTTACTCGAAGAGCTGTGTAGATTGATTTTATGCAGACTGTGAAATAGTTGCTAACTCTAATACTTTTTTTCATAAACGTATCATTTATCATTGGTTTTGATTACATATGGCTATCAACGAATGAACTACTGTAGTTTGTTTCACAATCCACTGTAAATCAATCTACAACTTCAGCTAAAAGTGTTGAGAATTTTTTATTGATTCTCAGTACTAATTTTTTTGGCAGTTTTTTGCTTCCGAATTGGATTGGTTCCAAAACCTGTGTATCAGCATACTTAGTGTATAACAACAGTGGCTTTGGGGAAGAAGAAGAGAAGAGGAGCAGGAAGTCATTCATCATACTTCCATAATCAAAAACTAATATATTCTCTTGCTTGCATATTTTTTGAAGTTTCCGTTAAAAACGGAAAGGGCACAACTGTATGCTGGGATATCCATCCTTCAGATACCTTTTTCGACTTTAATATTCCTCATCAACCATTCTTGTCACTGTTAAATGTATAGCATTTATTAGCTAGAATGAGACAGCAATAAAAACAAAGAATTATTACGGATTTATTGTTTATTGAGCAAGCTTTGAATTCCCCTTACAGACAGACACATTATTGACCCATTTCAGTATTTTAGAAAAGTGGTATGCTAATACCGTGAAATCAGTACGAATATGCATTCATGCATTGCTATAACTGCAAAAACCATTATTGGTATGGCTTTGATTGAAAATTTCTTTGATATATTTAACTATTAATATAATACTGTATATCACAATCACGAGAACTGCTTAGAATAAAGTATGCTAAATCAATGATATTATCTACTGTGTAGCTGACTAACCATGAACGACCTAAGTACACCAATAAGAATACGATATGATACAGATTATAGCACGATGCTATTACAGTGCTTACTGAACTCTAAAAATTAAGATAATAGTGCTCTTTAAACAATAAGTATTTCAAAATAATTGGACAACATTAGGTACATATAGCTTTACAAGGAATCATCTTACATAATAGACGGTACTAAAAAAAATGGCAGCACTTTGAAAAAGATTGTTTGAAAGAGTTAGAACAAGAAATCGAAAGTATGAATATCATTGAAATGAATTCCTATGGAAATCACTACAGTGGTAAATTTATCTCATCACTTTTTGTGCAACGTGATTGTAACCAACCATTTCACTCAATAACTAGTCTACCCTCAAGGCAAAGTTTTCGGACAACATTTTACCACTYTAATCATTTCCATAATCATATATCAAGGGTTTTGAAATTTGAAAATAAACTTTCATATCAGCCCATTCCACAACGGTAACCAATAACTGTTCATCTCCTCAAACCCTCAATAATAGAACATGACATTAGTATTAGTGAAAATAATCTTCTTATTTGACACTCTTGGTAGTAAGAATAAGAGCTACAATCAAGCCGTACAATCCCAGTACTTCAGCAAAGATAAGGATAAGAATCATGCCAACAAACAGACGCGGTTGCTGTGCTGTGCCACGGACTCCTGAGTCACCAACAATTCCAATGGCAAATCCAGCTGCAAGACCACTCAAACCTACACTGAGCCCAGCTCCGAGGTCTAGAAAACTCCTGGAATAATAAATTCAAAGTAATTTTAAAGATAATCCTGAACACTTTGCACCTTTTTTTTTCAATAAGTGTTGCCAAGAGCACAGACCCTTTGTATATGATGTCAAGGCAGCCTCATTTCATCCTTTGAAGCCCAGGGGAAAATCTAAGTATCCTTCTTTTCTCCCTAACAGAAGTAATACCCCTGAAAACAGTGTGTTGGAACATTTTCTGAAAGTCTTTAACTAYTTCACTGCTTTCTCAAACTAGTCATTGTACCATTTCCATAAATTGGACTAGCTACATTTATTTGGCTCTAACAATCAGGAAAGTGATGAATTTTAACTTCCAGAACAAGCTACAACAGACTATGTTTCAGACAAAGTTTCTACGACATACTATGTTTCAAAGGAATTAGAGAAGATTTCCTCCTGGGCTCACAAGGATGGCTTAATTTGGGAGACAAGATAAATTATTGGTCACTCTATGGAGGGTCTATGGATGAAAAAGTACCAATGATCCTAACAGTTCCAATAGTTTTAATGAATGCTTACATTCATTTGCAGAACTATGGTTYGATTGCAACAGCCACTCACATCTACTGTACTACGTGTTAAACCTAATAAATTTACTTTATATTCAACACATGCTGGGGTATTTATTAAGAATAAGTTCAGTGGACCGATGGCYTTTGTTGCTTATTTTGTCTGTTAGGCCACAATGACAAAATGAGCAAACCATYTCCTGTAAAAACTGGATCCCACTGCAGTGGTCTTTGTTCTAGTTTAGAATTRACACATGTGAAAATAGAGGTACTTACTTGAACAACGTATATTTGCTTGTATCTGGTGAAACTGGAATATAAGAATATTGTTAGTKTTTAATTGTTTTGGCCATCATACAACTGTAAAGTAATTAAAGTGAAAGAATTTGTCCCTTCATAATATTTATTTAAATATGTATCTAAGAAACTGAACTAGAGAACTTAACAATGCAATATTATCATACCAATGCAAAATTATACCATTGTTTTTACTCAAATTCAATACTTTCTAATAAATCTTATATTTTTGAACTACAAATTCTTATTTCATGGTATATAAATACGGAATCACATATACAAAAAATATTTAAAGCACCCAAATACGCATGAACATCAAAAAATCAATGATCTTTAGAAAGATTATGAAATTGAAGGAGAAATGCAAATTTTCTTCCATTTTAAAAGAATAAATACACGTAACGTAGATCTAATTTAATTCTTAGGGGAGAGGATAGATATAGCCGTTAAGCACCTTTCCCGAGAGAAATGTCAGAAAAATCAAAACGAATTGGAAATAAATTGGGATTTTATTCTAGAATTCCGGATATGTCCATGAAATTATGAAGAAAACACCTGGAGAGTTAGTGCTTCAGTATATCTCAATATCAACTACAAAAAAAGCAGAAGACACCCTAAAATCACGAATTATACGCAACTTAATAACGTTGAAGTCTTAATTTATGTTTGAGCTGGAAATKCCTAGACTAAATTTATTGTACAAAGAAATATCTTCGTAAAAATGAATGATGATACGTACTGGCACTACCAATGAGGACGGCTACAACAAGACCATAGATGGCAATAATACCGGCCATAACTACTGGAATGATCGACTTCATGATCAACTCTGGTCTCATCACACTCATAGCCGCTATACCAGTGCCACTTTTCGCCGTTCCATAGGCAGCCCCGAGCGCTGAACAAGAGAAGACAAAACGCATTGTAATGGAATCAAAAATGGACGTGAATTTCGACATGGTCATTGAAGGCGTCAAAAACCAGAACACTTACCACTGAAAACCATCGCTGCCGTCGCTCCCATTACTCCAAAGAATGCTACATAGCTAGGTTGATCCCCGTCAGACATTTTTAAATGAAAATTAAGTGATTTATTTCCAATATCACCACCCTAAATCGTTCAGGATTCAATCTGTAACACCAAAATGGCGGAGTGGTACACGAGTAGTGATGTCACGAGACTTCCCCGAGTACCGGCATTTCGGAACCAGTCACCCGACGACTTTCCGAAAATCACGGTTGGATTCTCATTTACGAAGATTTGCCGAAGTTTTATACACAGGAAACCCATGGATATACATATGAAATTTTGCCCGGGCCAGGGAAAATTAGCTTATTTTAAATTACTCTGAAATGCTTTGGTTTAATAATTTTAATCATTAAAATGACACACAAATGGATATTTTTCTCTTTCTCATTTTTTTAGAAAGTTTCGTTCACTATTTGTTATTACTGTATTACATTTTAATAAATGCACAGAAATGATTGGCAATGTACTTTCTGCGAGAATCAACTGTTTCTAGATTTCTTCGTTTCTCAAAACTAGATAGGATAGGATAGAGATAGGGATCTTCTCTACTCAGTTTCAGTCACATAAACAAAGAGATGTTGATAAGTTGGTGTGCAGGAAAAAAAATCCTTTGTTTGGTGTTCCACTTTAATGTAAAGCAAAATGGCCGCTATGACGTCATGTGAAATTGATCAACGGTTTCGTGKTGTTCCGCTATCAACTTCTGTAATCAGCACTGATATCATGTTAGGGAAATCCTACCTTATATCTGATTGATAAGCGATATTTTGATTTATTATATCAAGATATATAGCTATTTCAAAAAAGGTTGTCGGATAAAATAGCGAATGTCAATGATGGTCGAACGGCGATTGCACGACCGAAAGTAGCCATGAGTTTTGCTAGTTGAAAGGCAATAACAACTGATTTGTACTGTAAGATGGTCTGTGGTAAACATGGGCTTCATTTAGTCTCCATTTCTGTGTAAGGTGAATCCAATAAGTGAAATTTCTGTTTATCAAAACAGTGTAACCAAAATCCCTTTCGGTCGTGCAATCTCTCTTCGACAATCGCCGATCGCCGTTCTCCCCGACAACGTTTTTTGAAATAGCTGTATAACAACTAACAACAAGTTCAAGTYACWKAAAGAAAACTATCAATTTGATTTCAATTTCCGTTCTAGAAAACTCTTTAATCTTCTTCGGGCTTCCTTTGTAGGGTCTGTTAGAGACTAATGACGAGAAGGAAAAAAATATGAAGAGGAGGAAAAGAGGAGGAAGCTCCAATTTTTTCGCTCCCATTCTTTCTGTTCTGACAGCAAACTGAAAGACAGCTCTGAATCTTCGTGGTGTCTGTAGAGGAGGCCATGTAATTCCGTCGTACTTATCATCTTTTATTTAGAGATGAAAATGATCAGTGACTTCAACGGCTATCATTTTAGCCATGGGAATCTAATCACTGATGTTCGATTAGCAAACCTAATCCTGTCGGACCCAAGAGTCTAGATAGCTATTCGATCGTTCTCGGATTSTCGTCATCGATCATAGTCTTGGCACTTCACTACCTATTGAGGTAGAATTCTCATCTTCCGTTTTCCCATATAATATTCAATGGCTACTCAAAAGGAATCTATAACAAGTTCCCATTGAAAGTGGACTCATGCAGTGCTTCGATAGCAGCGTAGTTTTATTTCTTCATAAACTTCCTCCCCATCGATATAACTTTCAATGTGATGGTCTTGCAATCAGCATGACCGACCGCAAAATCTAACTGATCGTAAATCATTCTCTCAATATTGTCATGACATTACTAAGTTGTAAGTGAKGGTTTTTTTTWARSC